GCTAAATCATTGCCAAGGGCCATTGGTCCAGGGAGGCCCGAATGGGTCCTAATATGTGTAATATAAAAGGGTGTACTCCTCTTAAATAAACAATCTTGTATTTTCTGAAAAGGGGCAGCCACCCTGCTGGTTGGTTTTATAACACCAGCTGTCTCTAGCACAGCAACTGCATTAACTACATAGGATGAGTCAGAAATAATATTAAGAGGACCTGAAAACTTTTGAAGAACCTCCAACACAACCAGACATTTTACTATTTGAGGAGAGGTTTTTGCATATTGTCGTGAGAACACCTTGGAACCCACGACATATGTCTCTTTTTTATTTTTGGAGCCATCTGTATATATCATCAATCTTTCTTTCAGTGGAATGGGAGATGTAACTCGGGGAAAGACTACAGGATGGAGGGCTGCAAACTGCAGCAAAGGATGTCTTGGATAGTGATTATCAATTCTCCCCGAGAAGGTGGTAACTAGTATGGCCCAGTCATTTGAGGTGGCAGCTAATGTTTGTACCTGAGAGGAATTATAGGGGACCAAGATAGATGTAGGGTGCTTGTCAAAGTGTTTTATAGCCAATTTTAAGCCTTTAAGTGTAAGTTGAGCTATAGCAGCGGGGTACCAGTCAATTATTTTTTGGGGGGAAGCATTTGGGTGAACCCATAACAGGGGTCCTTTCTGCCACAAAACTGCAGTGGGCAGCTTTCTTGTTTTAAAAACACAGAGACAAAAAGGTTGAGAGCTGTTAATGTGACGTAACTGTGCTTTCTCTATTGCCTCCTCTACTAGGAGGAGTGTCCTTTTCGCAGCAGGGGTCAAGGATCGAGGGGAAGTAATATGGGTGTCCCCCTCCAAAATGTCAAAAAGAGGTTTTAAATCCGCTGTGGGAATTTTGAGAAATGGGCGAAGCCAATTAATATCTCCCAATAATTTTTGGAAATCATTTAAAGTGCACAAATCTTTTCTATAAATTTTTATCTTTTGTGGACGAATCACATCAGGGAGAATAACAGTGCCCAGGAATTGGCCTGTATCAGAAAACTGGACCTTTTCAGTGGCGACTTGAAGTCCCCAGTATTGCAAAGCTTTCACCAGCTGTGGGTAAGCTTTTTCAAGGGTCTCTCGCTCTTGATGACACATGAGCACATCATCCATGTAATGAATAATAGTTATCGCAGGAAATTTTTCTCTAATAGGCTTTAGAGCCTCCTGTACATACAGTTGACATATGGTGGGACTGTTGGCCATCCCTTGAGGCAGCACTCTCCATTGAAATCTCTTATCTGGCTCCATATGATTAATTGAAGGGATGGTAAAAGCAAAGCGCTGCCTGTCAGAGACATGCAGGGGGATAGAAAAGAAGCAGTCCTTTATATCTATAATGATTAAGTTCCAATCCTTAGGCAGAGCAGAGAGGACCGGAAGTCCCCGCTGCACTGCCCCAATGGGATACATTTGCTCATTAATAGCTCTTAGGTCATGTAATAACCTCTATTTTTTAGATTTCTTTTTTATCACAAAAATCGGGGTATTCCAAGGGGAGGTAGATGGCTCTATATGCCCTAAAGCCAGCTGTACAGTGACCAGATCAGTTACTGTAGCCAATTTTTCGGAGGTCAAAGGCCACTGAGAAACCCATACCGGAGCCTCTGTTTTTTATGGTATGGGCCGTACTGCCTCAGTGGCACCTAGGAAAAACCCAGGCCTTGTCTGCCTTGTACATGATCATCTGGATGATATCTTTCTTCCTCATACTTCGCTACTTTCTCATCTAGCTCCGCCTCTTCCTCCAGGTTAAGGCTCTCGTCCTCAGAGCTCCCGGGGCTTTTTGAACTACTTAATTGT